CTACTTCAGTAAAAGGACAACTTAAGTCCTGAAATGCAGATGTCGAGATGTTCTCCTGTCATGATATTCAAGGAGCAGAGAAGACATGTCGGACTATCTTTTATACCGATGTGGTGAAGGTGCTTCTACAGTAAACCATGCTCTGTAACCATCCTAAAGCATGCCACGGATTGCCCTCTTGACACCCTCCTACTGTGTTCCAGTAACCCGCTACATTACTTTCCTTCAATTTTTTGGACATATTTTTTCTTTTAGTGTACTTTGGAGAATTTCTTTTATGATTCTTTTAGCTAAATCTATACTAAGAAGAATATATGGTTGGATCATTCCAGAAGATATTCTGTAATTAATCGGTTTTTGACGCTTCATCGGTTTTTTTTTTTTTATCTGTATCTCAAACCTACCCTTTGAGTTCTAATTCTGGTATGACAATTTTTATAATTATCTTAACAGCTTATTAAGAAGAGCATATGCATAATATGCTATTCAGATTTGTTTGTTTTATTGACTGTGCCGTTCCAATCATACAAGCAGAACACAAGACTACAGGATATCATGTAGGCAGATATCAGTGTAAAAGCAATCCTGTCCCATCTTATGTAACATACAGCACGGTCCGCCATGGTATACTGCCTCAGTTCCATCACGTCAAGGTTGGAGTTATTGATAACTATAGCAGCCCTGGGCCTCCCCTCTCCACTGCTCAAGGCTATAACCCTTGACGTGAGGCCAAACCCCGTGACCATGTTGCTATAGCAACCTGGTTCTTGAACCGCGAAAATGTCAGCGATGGGCTAGAGCTCGTAGCTCATCAGACACAAGACGCCGTCGGCCCATATTAAGCTGTAGGATAGTAATCTTGTTACTCATACTTGGTTCTCTTCGCTAGTTCTTGGGTCTTCTTTAAATGGACTGGGCAAGTTTGACATCCCGCTTGGTGCTTGGCCAGGTGTTTCTGTTTCCCTTCTCGTACACAATTCGCACAAATCGGTTCTGCCCTTTCCTTCTTTCTTGGGCACTCCTTAGCTATGTAACCTGGGCAGGCACACCATTTGCAAACCAGAGAGTCTGCTGTGCAGGACGCCTTAGAGTGGTCATATCCCAGACACTTCATGCAGCAAGGAGGATCTATATAATCTTTAAAGTTCAAGGACCACCATCCTCCATCAATAACTGATGTTTGTATTAGGCCAAATCTTATCATCGGATGAACCTCTATCACCCAATTCCTTGTAAGGCCTCCTCTTGCTATTGAAGAGAAACATGCCTGGACACACTCCTTTCTTTCTAGCCCAATGGGTATCGTCCCCTGAGGCAATCTTCCCCATATTACCATTTCCAATTCAGATGCGGTCCAAGAGTGAGGTGCTCCCCTTACCTGCAGTCTAGGCTTTCTCCTCAAGGCCATCTTAGTTTCTATCCCTTTCTCTAGTAACTTTTGGCACTGTAAACGCTTGATGGCTTGATTTTCATCTTCTACGCGTACGAGAACAGCACCAGCCTTGGTTGTACGGAGCACTTTTGCCTGTACTCCTAGTTCATTCGGAGATGGTAATTCGCTAACAATTTCTAGAGCAGATTTCCCTCCTCTAGCCATTGTAACAAACGCATGCCGCGGTGCATTTTCCTTAGGTTTAATCGGTAGCGTTTTAACTATGTCCGCCATAGTTTTCTTTGCCGGGGTAAAATTGACGCATTAGAACTATTCTGTACTCCTTTCAGTTGCTCATTTACTTCCTCGTTCTTTTTGGCTATCATTTTAACGTTTTTCTTTTTTCTTCGACTTTGAACTATAGCAAAATCTTCTGATTCTAAAACTTCTTCTGAAGGTTTAATTATTAATTCATTGTTTAATGAATTTATCCCAGATGTTCCAGCTTTAGGCGGTGGGTTGTGGTTTTGTGTTTCCGCTGCTGGAAGCCTCTCGAAAATTCTAGGTAGAGATCGTTCAACGAGAATGTCCGTGATTTTGTCAAACACGCTAGGAGATGATAGTGTCTCCTTGACAACTCGTTCAATTAATGCTCTCTGTTCTTTCGATCTATCCATGACGGTTTCCATGATATCGATAAGATGACTCACTTTACCGTTTATATCTTTTTGCGTTTTCACACTTAATCTTTTATCCACGTTCGTGAGGTAAACTCTTAAGTTTTCTTGAATGGCCTTCGCCTCTACTAACAACGGATCCGTTTTACTCTCTTTTTGGTCTGTTATATCAGGCGATCCATTCCTGGCTCTCTTGGCTACAGGTCTTGATCTTTTAGGTTTTTTCTCATCTTCTATCTCTTCTTCCATTTCTATAACACTATCGTCCATAGTAAATAGTATTTTAACACTAATTACTGCAGTGATAACAGTTCTAACCTATCTAATTTAAAATAGCTTAGGAACAGTTATCAGCAATTGTTTGTATAATTCTTTTGTAGTTCCAATGGGAACTTCCTATTATATTTGCTAATAAAGGATTCTAAAACTTTTCTTTTGGTAGTCCTTGATAACTCAATACAATAATACAATTTATTAAACGAATTTAGATAGGTTATAGGTTACTTACCTCAACCAGATTTCAAAAAGAGTCTTTTCTGATAAACTTTAATTATTCTAATTATGATACTCTAATTAGATATTAATATTTAGTCTTTCTCTATCTCTAATATCTCTAGATATTAATAGTCTTTATGTACTAAGGTCAAAATCTCGTGGAAAACCATGCGAGGCTTTCTAACCTCAATATTCAAAACTATTTACACTTATAAAAAACACTACAATTAACAAACCATGTCTAAAAAAGTTAATTAACAGTAAACAAACATAAAAAACAACAACAACATAAACAACACAAAGACAGCAATCAGAAATCACACTATACCGCAAATGCGACTGGTCACAAGCAAGTACAGACTCCTATTGATATTGATATTGATATATTGATATATATATTGATATATATTGATATTGATATTGAACTAATAACTATTTGAATATAGTAAACCATTGGATAATAATTATTACAGCTTTTATTTCTCTATTTAAAGCCATTTTTTTTCCTATCCCCCAGGAACTTCTTGATTACAAAATACATATATATAAATGTTATATATACATAAATTTTCAATTTCCTTTTATTGCCCAAGGGCATTTTAAGGTAAGAGGGCTCTGCACGCTGTATGCGTTCTTTGCATCTGTGGCCAGAGGCCTTTTATTATACCACTGGGCGTGGAGGGACCGCCCTGCACTTAACGCCAATGAAACAATTCAAACCCTTTCTATTTTATTTGAATTCAAAATAAGCGGGAAATAGGACCTTAGTGACTGAGCTCTGCTGCTCACGTCTTTTTCTATTAAATTTATTTCAGATGTTGGCTCCAACAATGACAAATCGACGAGTGTACGGAACTTGATATATTTATATCTCGGTAAAGACTCCCCTTCAGCTAGTTCTATTTGTTTCCTTTATATCAAGCCTTCTACCGCCTTAGTAAATGTGGTTTGTGTTTTAACGGCTTCAGGTGCGGGTTCATATCATACCTACTCCAGTAGCTTCATATCAAGACGTTTTAGCCTTTCATAGAGTGTAATGTTTCAAGAGGTGCTCTGTCTGTTTGTGATTCCAGAACATTGGAGTAAATCTCCTCTTTCGTGTCACGAGTCTGAGGATCTGATTTTGAGCTATGTCCAGCTTGTGTATCAATAGAGCTATCCTCATCTATTTATTGAAGACTTTCATAAACTTTTTTGATGCCATATTTTATTTTTTTGAACCTAAACATTTCATAAGTATGGCAAATATAGCAACTAAGCGGATTTAGGCAAACATTACGGTTATAAAAAAAAAAAACGGTACATTCTTGGTCTTTAAGAGGCAGCAAATTTCAGAGCCTACAATATTGCTAGTAATATATATGATACGTTATAAATTCCATATATGCTAATAGAAATAGATTCACTCAAGCTTCAAAATAGTCAAAAGTGTATTTAGATCGCAAATTTTGTACTGAGGGAATGAATAAAATGATACTACGTGTAATTTATTATTTTTGCTACCATGAGCGGCTTACAGCTCCAACTGAAACGACATTTATCGTCACTATTTGGATGAAACGATCAACTCAGAGGCGTGCAAAACGCCATCGGAATTTACGACTCATTTAATAAAAATTACAATATTTATGATAAAAACTGTTATGGTTGATTCTGAGGATGCAGTTAATAACAAAGTTGCTGACAAAGGCCGAGACTTGGAACCACTTATCGGACGACGAAGTTCCATATTTTTAGAACGGTATAGATTATTTGGACTAAGGCTTAAAGGGAGAAGATTTCATTACAATTATGGCTGTTAGGCAATGATCAACGGGCAAACATAAAGTACTAGATACAGAATAACTTTGCTTCTCAATTATGTTTGTTGTGTATAAATTAACATTGAAAACGAACGTAAGCACTCCAGGCTCATTTTAGGAAAGTTAAGTTCACGACCTTGCTATCCAGAGTTTGCTTGCTATCCATTTTGAAAAAAAAAATAGAAATGGCACCACGAGTACTTGAATACCTTCAGTGCGAAAACACGCCCTGATGATGACCCACATGATTGGGTTGGAACGTTGGCACTAATAAGAACTTTATAATGACTGCGTCCTGAATATTCTATCAGCTATTCACCCACCCATGATATGTAGAACAGTCGGCTAACTTCTTCTAATAATGTATCAGGTTAAAATAAACCATTTCATAAAATCAATATGGACGTGTTTGTGATTAGGCTACTCATATACTCCCAGTTTTATTTCTCACGGCACTCCAAACCATCTTTTAGATTTACTTAGCTGTCAGTTACATCTCTGTAGTTATTTTATATTTAGTAGAAAATATAATAACATTTATATAGAAAGGAAGCTAAATACTACGGATAAAGGGGTCACGTGCAACTGTGTGAATATATATATAATGGAATAGTAAATTATCTAATCGATTTCCGGAGCATTTAGCGATTAGAGATAAGTTATCGGCAGATAACTTACCAGTATAAGTATGCAAACAATTTTAATTTTACTTTACGAATCACTATCTGCTCCGTTCGATTCAAGATGATCGACAAGAGCCGGTATTGTCTCCTGACACTCCTGTTCTCAGGATGTGTTTCCTCCTTGGCCCTGGGAAAGGATAAAGGAATTGGAAAAGAAGATCCGTTCCATTCTTCGGACTTCCCCGATGGCTTCATGTTCGGGTGTGCCACCGCAGCCTACCAGATTGAAGGAGCTTGGAACGAAGATGGTGAGTAAATCAAGTATTTAAGTTTATTATAGGTCATTGTGAGCCGAGACAGCATCAAATTCAGGACACTCATCTATAGTCTTCAAAGTAGTTTGTAAAACTCATCTTTCTCTTCATCTTCAGATTCTTCAGTGGGTGCATGGCAACTTATAAGACTATAATTACAGAACACTCCTTTCACCCTTAGCTAGCTCATTCTACGATTTATAGGTTTAAAATCAATAATTTTATCTTTTTGTTTCTTGCCGTCTACAAATCCCGTACAGAACGTATGGAGTTTTTCTTGACTTTATTATATGCTATGATTCTTCTTTTCCAGAACTCCTTTGCCCGTCCAGTTCATTTAGTAGCACTTGAATTGCTGCAGGTGTATATAATGTCAGTACATTCCAAAATCCCAATTTGATATCTTTTAGACGTTTGCCGAGTCTTAGTTTCAGTCCAGCTTCCAGGTTTTTTGTTTTCGTGATAGGTTGATTTTAGGGATGGTGGGTTATCGGCCCTCAACCCTCAAGTTCAGTGGAGGGGCTGTCTCGTCATAGCTCCTGGACGTGCTGCTTTATCCGGAGTGGCTTCCTATGGGAGGTAGCCTCTATTAGTGACCTTTGTGCGTGTGTTTTGTATGTGTTTGTTAGAGTACTTGTAGTGTGTAGATGTACATGAACAGTGGTGACACGCGGAGACGTTACTCCCGAAGTAACTGCATGCGACAGTTAATCCTTGCGGGATCGCCCACGGTAGTTGGCTTATCTTAATGATGGTGGTGATGTCTGCATCATCAGCTTTTTATCGGTGTGTTGTCTCCAACCACTATCAATGTGGAGCGCTCCGTAGATTCCGAGGGTAAGTAAGCACTCAAATCTTGGCCCAGCCAGTTCTTGAGCTTTTCAGTAAAATCTAGCATTCCGATTCAGTCAGCACGAGTCTGATAAGAGTTTTATATATAAATGCACTTTGTTAGTCTTAGAACTATCAATTATTTAGGCTAAGTTGAAGGATTTCACCTATTAGCAGTTATTATGGATTTAAGGACTATAATCGTTTCTGTATTTTACTTACCTCTCAAGACAAATTCTTGGACACAGCCGACCGTTCCACTGGTCCCCGCCTATAAGGTTCGCAAACAACTCTCATGCTCCAGAAGACCTGTCAATGATAACATCGCCTACCAAGCATAAGATCATCGCGGACTTACTGAATACCATTCCTCCAGATTATCTGTTGGATCTTCCTGCAGCAGATTCCAGACTGAAGTTTTAAAAAATGGTATGCCAAGTACTTGGGTGAGCGAAATTTCTCTGATTTATCTCGTACACAATACTTCACCTCCCTCATTTCCATGTAGAGCAGACGAATTAAATTAGGCGCTATCCGTAATCCTAGCATTCCCTTGTAGATCCTCCCTTGAAACACTGTCATGTGCAGGATTTAATAATTTCCTTAATTTTGTTGTCAGGGTCAGCTTCATTGGCAGTGATTTTACGATATCTGCCATCGTCCTCGGCTCTTCTTCTTAGGGATGTTTCCAAGCACAGGGGTCTCATCATTATTTTCTTGATTCTGACTTTCGTCCTTTCTTTTCTACTGTAACTTAGATTTTCTCATGTTTTTTTTACTTTGGACGATTTCGAAGGTTTCAGTTTCCTTCTGGTTTATATTGCGAAAATAATCCTTGTTTGCCTACTTGGAGGTTCCGGCTATGGCTGCAGGCGGATGTTGGATTGGCTTATCTTTCTCCGGTAGTCTGGTTTTCGATTTTTTCCAAAATTTGGCTTTGTTGTACTACTCGTTGAGATTTCTATGTTTTTTTAACCACTTTTTGGACAAGTGTTTTGATTTTATCTTCTTTGTATTTATCCCTACATTCCTTAGCTCTGTTGTAAGTAATCTCAATTATACCAATTATTTTTTCGACTTTACCATTAATATGATTCCTCGTTACATTATTCATTTTTCTATCAAAGTTCTTCAGGAACGTTTTTAGATTGCTTTGGATGCTTCTTACCTCATACAAGAAGCTCCTTTCACTTCTTTTGGTTTCCTCGTCAGTATCAGTCTTATCTATTTCTCGGCCGAAGACCGATGATCCTGGTTTGTTCCTCCTTGGTAGACTCCTCTTTCATTTTGGCACTTTTATTAACCATCATAATAAAATACCACAATTTTTGAAATGTAATAATATTTCAATAATCAAGTTAACCTAATTAAATTTTGATACGGTGGGAAGAATGTTATTACACAATCAACTTATATATACGAATATACAGTCTCGCCTATAGTATTTCCGAATTGTCTGTTGTATTCTATACTGTAGACGTTAGAAACTTCGTTGGTAACCACTTGGTTACCTAATCTACAAAGTTCTTCTTATCACAAAAATCAAATTAAAATCAATTAATCATGTCTGTAAAATAACGAAAACTATAAATAACAACAACACAAACGATAAATAACATAAATATAAACACATAAACTAATAATAGAACTCAATAAACACAATATATAGCATTAACACAAATTGACACATTATCACTTCAAGCTACAATCGATTTATCAATAAATGAGTTTGAGATATATATTAATATGAACCTTTTTGTGTAAGTGAACACATACCTAAAATAGTGCCTTGAAATTACGAAACACCCTGTATAATTTAGTATATATATATATATATATAATGATAAGTAATCATTATGAAGGTAATAGAACAAAATTTGCCTAAATTCAGGTAAAGGAGAAAATATTTGGGACAGAGCCATCCACACCATTCCGAATTATATAGATAGCAATTCGACTGCTGACGTTGCCTGTGACAGCTACCACAAGTATAAGGAAGACATCAAACTTCTGAAAGATACAGGAGTAAGGATCAATAATTTATTTTATCTTATCTATGCTTTCAAGCAGTCAAAAATAAACCATATTTTTTCTGTCTCTGTTTTTCATAGTTCAACACCTACCGGATTTCTCTATCTTGGTCTAGAATATTGCCACGTGGAACAACTGATGTTATTAACGTAGCAGGTGTGGCATATTACCAAAACGTCCTTAAGGAACTCGCTAAAAATGGAATCGAACCTTTGGTATATTTTTTTAACTCATCTTATTGTAATGTTTATTACTCAGTTGATGAAATATTTAGGAGATACTATGATATAATGTTAAAGAAATCGCTTCTGACCATTTTGTGAAAACGATTTACTCTAAATCATTCCCTTTATTTTGTAGGTTACCTTGTACCATTGGGACTTACCCCAGCCCCTTCAAGACATTGGAGGCTGGATGAATGAAACTATAGTTGATCACTTTCAGAACTATGCCAGAGTGGTTTTTGAAACTCTAGGAAGTCAGGTTAATACCGGTTACATTATTACTAAATTAATCAAATTTACAATAACTATTCATTTATTTAAAATGTGTTTTATAATTAGGTGAAGTGGTGGATAACAATCAACGAACCATCACAAGTGGTAAGTGGATATTCATCGACTACTTTCCCACCAAACGCAGGACTGCATGGTGTTGGTGATTACATAGCCACGCATAACATATTGAAATCCCACGCTAAAGTTTACAGGATGTATGATAAGGAATTTAGGCCGACACAAAAAGGTAACTTCGAACTTATCAAGGAAATATTGTGATGATTATTTAAACAAATAATTCAGTATAAATCACAAAATTTAATTTAACAGGAAAAATTAGCTTCTCCTTTGATGGTCCATTCGTGAAACCTAAGACAGACTCAGAAGAAGACGCAAGGGCTGCTGAGCAAGCGATGCAGTTTAGGGTAAATACAGCATAGACTGTTCTTTTTTTTTCTCTTTTTTTAAACTAATTATTTCTAAGATTTAGGCCATTATAGTCTCAATAATTTATTCTAAAATTATCAGAATTTTCGCTATGGACTACTGTGTAAGTATTAAGTCCTCTAAGAGATTCTTTTTATATATTTTTCAAATGAAAATTCACAAATTGTTGTAAAATCGTTTAACATTTAACAAAGAAGAGGACAAAATTCGGATAAGTTTATTTTATTATTGAAGCTATAATGGCCTAATAAGTAGTTAGAGACTTTTATATAAGTATATGTAGTAATACTTATGTAAAAGTATTTTTCGTAATATCATTATTTACTATACATAATTATTTACACCGACGCACGAAGGGGCCGACAGCCGATCTAGGAAGATACAATTCATTAAGCATAAATGTCGATCGAAAATCACGAATGCCCTTCCTACAAAATTCAGAGAGGGAAATTTCTAAATCCACACCACGATGACAATCTATAGATCTATATAAAAAATCTATATATATCTGTATCAAAATTATTACCATCCAGCAACCTCGAGGAAATTATCAATGTCACGAAATATTTGTATTTAATAAATAGATATATTTAAAATGGAACAGTGAAGAATAGGAACACAACTAACAAATTTTATACTAGCTGTATAAAAAATTCCAACTATAAAAAAAAAAAAAAGGAAAAGGTCGAGAAACTATTCTTTAAGATAGAAAATAAATTTAAATTTAAAATTTTAAAGATTGGGTAAGTAGTCGACTGATCAATTATAAGGAAGAAACAATATTTTCAGGAATTTCAGTCAAGGTACTTTTATTAGATTAGTTGGAGTTTGGGGATATAAACCAGTACTTATCCGTCGCTGAAAGTTTTAAATATCTCCAAGCATCATAAATAGCTCTGAGAATGTTTGAGCCGAAACGTAACCTATCCCAACAAAAATACTTTGACTAAAATTCCGGACAAATTCGATTTCATTCTTAAAAAAGTGTTAACTTAACTTTAAGTTAAGTTACAGATCCTGATTTTATCAATGCTCGTTTCGAGTTACTCATTTGTGTTGAAATAAAAAAAAAAAACATGAAGATAAAAATATCATTGAATAAGGCATTTATGATGAATGAAGAAGTACTGTTGAACGAGATTCTTTACGGATATGATGTTGCTTGTGAAGATCATAAATGATTTGGTTGTTATGATGTCCGATAACAAACGTTGAAATCTAAATCTAGAAGTTTATTTAATTACTCATTTGTAGAGGTAGACTAACTTATATCGATAGAAATGTTTTTATGATTGTCTTCATTTTTCTTTGATTAATTTATTTCGACGTTTTTACGTCAATTGCTAAGATCGTAATAATCGTAAACACGTTCATTTTTATTGCACCGCTACCTGACATATAAAAAGAATACTGTGATGCCGAGATTTCGTCTAAGCACTATCCAGCCAAAACCCGCGCCATTTCGAATCCGGCCTCGAAAAAACATACATATTTAAAATTACTGCCCCCATTCTCGAAATTCACCAACATATACTTTGCCTAAGCAGACCCGCGAGAGATACACAATTTTTTCACCGATTTCTCTTGGTGGTTCACAATTATAAAATTGGTCACAATACAAACTTTACAGGTTGGCCAAAAACACTTTGTTCTTTTTTTCAGTTTGGATGGTTTGCACATGCTGTATACAGCAGCACAGGAGATTACCCTCCTGTTATGAGGGAAGTAATTGATCGAAACAGTCTTCAAGAAGGAAGAACCAAATCCAGATTGCCTTCCTTCACTCCAGAAGAGATTGAGGAAATTAAAGGTAAGTGATGGTTCATGGATGGATCTAAGAGATTCTACTTGCATTTTTCTTGATCATTTAATTCATACGGGGATAGGAAAAAGATTTTGTCTTCAAAATAAAAAAATTCTTTCGCATTTTACGTGTAAGACTTCAAGAAACATATTCCGTATGAGAAGCAAGGCGTGTAAATAAATCATATAACTAAATGAATTATTCAAAATACATGATTCCAAAGCTAGCGCAAATAGGTGATTCTATCTAAATTGGGCTTTTTTAATGTTTGAATTTCATTAAGTAAAATGATACGGACTCACAAAGGTTTTCCGACTGAAATATTTTATTTTTTTTTTTTTATTCAGTTACGCTTAGCTGAGAAATTTCTTTTACGAAAGTCTTCATTTTTAAATTAGACAATAAATTATCGAGACAGTTGAATGAAAAATAGTGTCACATTATCTTAAGGAAAACAATTGTTTCCTGTGGAATGTAAAATAATATGATCTGAATGAAAAATATTAACTAAAAGATTTTAGGAGTCAGAAAATGGATCGAGTTCATTATCTATTTTCAGAAAACAAATTCTCTTATCAATAGGTCCTCCTAAAAATTCTTCTAAAAGGAATTTTAACAAGTATCGCCTTAAGAATACATGATTTTAGTGCAAGTATTTTGGTCGAACAATGGAACCAGTCTTAAGCATTATTTTTGTCTTTAAACAATACGCAAATGAGCGGAATAAACATCTTTCAATGTAGAATTCATTAGGAAATTAATCATGAAATAACTAAAGGATTGACAATAATAATTTCCATTTCAGGTACCTACGACTTCCTCGGTTACAACCATTACTCCACGGCCTTGGCGACCTTTGGAGCCACCGGGAAGAGCCCTTCCATCGATCGAGACTCCAATATATTATTTTCAGTTGACCCCAACTGGCCTTCATCATCTTGTGATTGGCTAAAGGTGAGCGGATTGTTTTCATTATTGCTTTGTCTTCTAAAATAAAGCTACGAAAATAGCAATCACGAATTTTCTTTGTTGCACTCACATATATTGAAATTGCTCGATATCCAATATTGCTCCTTGATATCCATTTTTCATTTTCTTTTGATGTTACCACATTTGTAAGTGAGGTTGACGCCACTGAATATCGAAACTTGGAATAGAATTCCTTCGACTCGCAAATGAAACTCATGACTCTTCTGAAACTACATTAATATACTTTCTGTATATTTATTTTTGACATATCGTGCCATTTGCACCTGCGCTGCAGCAGGAAAAAGAAAGGACTAATGGATTGAAGTGATTTAGAATTGAAGAGTGAAATGAAGTGTATTTGCCGTGGATGTAGAATTTTACTGTTGGGATGTTCAAGTCGTTATGTATAGTTTTATTTGAAATGCACCAAGTTGCATTGACAATTTTTCGTAGAATTTTTATTGTGTTGTTTGTATACAATTTATATTTATACTCAAAAATGAATTGTAAAAGGATTTGTAATGTATTTTGGAAGGTACCCGGCTTTTCCACTGAATTTTCAACATTGATAGAGCACAACTTCATTCCACCAATGAATATTTAACAAAATCAATATTACACATAACATTTTTTAAAATTACAAATAAAAAGAATTCGAAATTTAAAATAAGTAAAGAAGATGGCCACGTGATCTCCTAATATAGACATATTAGAGTGCTTTAGGTAGTTTCTCAAAATGTGTTTCATGTCATTATATCCATGTGCGAACTTACCAGATGTATTTTTTGTATACAGTTGTAAATATCATATAAATAAATTTTAAAAAAATAAGTAAAAAAAATCTGGTGCGTTGCACGCGCCACACAGGAATACTTCTTTAACTATAAATATAGACCGACGCTAATTATTATAAAATTCTTTGCAGTTTTTTTATTTTTTGTTTCAAGAGAAAACAAATTTTAAGTGTTTTGATTTAGTTTCTATGGAAATTCTATATAAGTTCGGTAAAAACTTTATTTATATTCAACAATATAATATTATAAATTACACACTATTTGTCGTAGTTTGATTATACCGGCGATATAAGAGAGTACGATGGGCGATAGATAAATAAAATAAAAAATATATAATTAAATGAAAGTAAAATATTTCTCAGTAAGTATGATATTAATATTTTTCAACTGGAAATATCACTAAAATGACTTTATTTAAAAATTTTGAAATCAGAGCTAGTCATTATTCTCTCAAATGAACGGCTCATATTTGATAGTGATTCGTATTTGTCCCTTGGTGCAGCCTCGATATTACAGCAGGCATTGAACATCCTTCGTCGTCGATTTCTAAATATAATAAGGAATTGAAAAAAATGGCCATTGGCCGGTTTAGATGATTGTGGGAAGGTGCCGGGTAAACTTTAGTACCGGGCGCCAACAAACCTTGTCTACTGCAGTTTATAACAATAATAATAACCTATATTTGTACATACAACGCAAAAAAAAAAAAATGGACAGAAAAATAAATATATACAAAATCTTTACATTTTGATTTATATTTAGCATTCTTATATGTACAAAATCAACATTTTAGTTGAGGTTTTGAGTTCGATTTTCTTTCTTCTTTTTTTCTAGCTATTTATTTATTTATATATTCCACCTTCCCATGCCACTACGGCAATACGCGTGTTTGCGATAGTGTGTTATTAGGTCCATCTTATATCATTCCTCCTGAACACATGTCCGATTCAAGTCCATTTCCTGATGTGCACTCTTTCCACAATATCTGGAAGGTCAGTCTTAGCTCTGTTCCATTTATTGGCTTTTCCATCCCTTCGTGTTATTCCGAGAAGATATCACTCCATTCCTCTGGCGGTTATCCTCAATTTGTGACAAGTCTTCTGGTCAATTACCCATGTTTCACAACCATATGTCATGACAGAAATTACTGTGCTCATCCAAAGTTTTCTCTTGACCTCTGAGCGAGGATCTATATTCATCCTTAGATTTGAAGAGTGCGCGCCATTCCATACTTGCACTTTTTATAATTTATTTTGAGCCCTATGTTTTCTCCAGCTATTATTAATTGTTTTGCCATCGTTAGGATCTCTTCTTTATTTTTACCTATTAGGACTTGATCATCCGCAAACTCTAAATGGTTCAGCCATTCTCCTAAAATTTTCGTTCCTTTGTTCTGACAAACTGCAGTATATGGGACAGATAAATAAGATGTAATAAACCATTAGTGATGACATTTTATAATAATTCCTAGTAAGGGGGCCGGGGTAGGGTTCGAATCCCGATGCCAGAGGGAAGTCCCAGAGTTAAAAGTTTAACTCTGGCATGATTCTCCGAATGACGAGGAAGGGGGAAATAATAGTAATTCGTAGCAGCCTGTTAACAGAATCAAAATCCACCTATATATTAAATTATTAAAATAAAATAAAGTTAGTTTTATATTAACAATTAACATCATCGATTATTTAGTATACTTGTATGATTATTATAGTACGATTATTTAGAATACTTGTAATGTGTATGAAATTTTCTGTATTTTTCTACTGCTGTTTTTGCCATTTAGGTAAATCCTGAAGGTTTGAGAGGTGTCGTCAACTGGATCAGGAAAGAGTACGGAGACAGGATACCCATCATAATCACAGAGGGTGGCTACTGTGACGATGGTAGGATCGATGACTACGAAAGGATCGCCTACTACGATGTAAGATTCTAAACTTACCTATGAATAAAATGCATTTTATACTTATATTCTATAAAAGATGTTTATTTATTTATTTTTAAAAGGGCTACTTGAAGGAATTATTGAAGGCGATCAGAGAGGACGGAGCGAACGTCCTTGGCTACATGGCCTGGAGCATTATAGACAACTTCGAATGGGGTTCCGGATACAGGTAAAGTTTTCAAAGTTTGGAATTTATTTGATAATTAATCATTATAGCATTGGATCCCGGATTAAAAAAGTGTACTCATTGCAGAGGAAGGTTTGAATGTGAACAATGAAATTGCTTGGTCCTCTATTAAAACAAACTTTATCTAACCATCCAAAGTCGCTGATTCAAAAAATAGCAGTTGATTTCCATATGTTAGGCCAGTTAGTTGAGGATAGAAACGTGGATTATGGTACTGAAAATTTGTACGTATCAAATATTTGTCTTAACTTGTATATATGCCTAAAAACATTTATTAAAAAACTGGTGCGGTGCGCGCATAACACAACTTTCACTTTCCTCCCTCTCCGTATCAGATATAAATCTTCAGACTAAGGGGATGTGAAAGTAAAAATTATAGACGCTATATTTATTTAGATTTAATTGTGGGTAGTTTTATTTGTTCAAGTACTCTTATATACACAGATTTTAATATTTATATCGCTAAGATCTATACAATTAAAGATTAAATAATACCAACGATAGCATTAATGAAAACCGCATATGTCAATACTATTTTAAGCTCATCTTACGTATGGAAGCCTAATCTTTCGAGTGAACTCGGGCGCGTTCGTATTCCTTTGGTCCTTTCTTACTTCTCCTTTAGTTAATTTTCGAATTCTTTCATATTTTATATTTAACTATTTTATATATCAGAGATCAATGTGAAATGGTCAATTGTTTCAAATAAAAAAAAACTAAAGGTACTTTAGGGGAAGCTAATATGGAAAATTAGACATTTAAGCCCTGTTAGAGAACATCAATGAGAATAAAATCTACATTATATTAAAAACTGCTTAATTTTGCACTGATTTAATGAATTTAATCAAAATCGTTGAAGCCGTTTTCGAGAAAAATGTGTAAAATCAGTAATATAAAGTGCAACTTTCGATCAGCTAATTTTGACGAAAAAATTACTGTTTCATCACAAGCATATAAAAACCTTAAATATGCAATTTCAGGTTAGTACAACTTTTAGTTTTTGAGCTAGCCTGTTAAAGCTGTGACACAGACATACACACATACATAGACCATTTGGCGGGACTTGGTTATTTGGACTCAGGGGACCTCAAAATGTGTATTTCCGTTGAAAATTGAGATTTTAAAATTTTCACGATCGCGATACTTTTCTTTACTATATATTTCAAAGGAAATTTAAATAAAACCTCTGAAAACTATTAAAATAAAAATGGCTAAATTTTATGACTTAGGAGGATAACCACAGTTTTCTTTCTCTTAAAGAATTTAATTCCAAGCTGCAAAAACATTTTTAGTAAGGCAACTCTTGTTTCGATAAGTTGGTGAAAATCAGCTTTCGTTGAGCGTGCTCATTTTGATGCACCTTTCAGAAGTTACAATTGAAAAAATGTTATCAAAAAATGGCTCTCCTGTAAGCAATTATTTTTTTTACATGTTTAAATTCCAGTATACATGTTAAAAAATAAAATCTTCAACCACAAGTTTCCCAACAAAGCATTGACATTGATAGTTGATAGTGCCAAATAGAAATGGCTAGGAAGCTATTCTGACCATATTTGGCAGATTATTTTTAATAAAAACTTTTGTCTAATTTTTTATTTGTTTATGTGTTTCAGCAAAAGATTTGGTATTCACCAAATAGACTTTAACGACCCACAACGTCCCAGAAGAAAGAAGAAATCGGCTGAATATTGGCAACAATTTTTACATCCAAAAGCTTAAAGTGAAAGCAAGCTAAATTCCGTTTTAAGTTTTTCTTTTTCTACTGAAATTGAAAAAAAGTGTTGATTTTTTTATTATGATCATTTTCTCATATCGTTTTTGACATATGTAATATCTTAATTTTTTTTTTAAACTTATTTATTGAAAAATATTACAATCTGTCTCAAGGACAGTATATTTTAAATTATGACGATAAATTACCTCAAATATTTACTCAAATTACCTATTGTTCATCGAAATGTCAACTGAAATGTTTTTTGTATTTTCTGCATCAATAAATTATAATCCTTTTGTATTCACATAAGTTTTTATTTATTTGACCCTAAGATGGTATTTATTCATACTTTAAAATGGTGGATGGAGTGACCTGTGCGAGTGGAAACAGTTCTTGGTTTTTTTAGTCTAAAATGTGGGTTCCACGTTTGTCTTCTGTCTAAAAGGAAGCCAAGATACCGGACTTTGTTTGAAAAAATGAAGCTGATCTTAAATCTGAGCCCAGAATGAAGTTATGTCCTAAGGAGCTGATGAGAGAACTCAACTGGAAGTTGGATGTGGGTCTGTTAGGAGGGCAATATGCTGATACAAGGATGACTGAAAAGGAGAAGGTTTTGATTACAATGGCGTTAATCTTGGGTAGGTGATGAGAGAGGGATTGGTGTACAATGACAGCAGTGCCGGCATGTGTTATGTACTGTGGAATTTTAAAAGCTGTTTTCTGAACAGTCAATTTTCTATAATTAGGACTCGTCTAGTAATGAAATTGTTATTTCGTCGACCTGATTTCTAACACCATTCGCATTCCAAATAGACCTGGAGCCAGGACCGAAAAAGCAGGAGTGTTTTAAGCAATTTTTCAACCTTACAAGCTGAAGTATACCTGTCAGGTGTTATGAAAATACTTGTCTGCCAGCAAAATTCAGGAGCATTTTTAGAAAATTTTCGTGGCCGCGTTAAGATACGGTTTTGAAATATATGCCATTACAAAGAGGATGAAATGCTGAACATTTCCCTCACTTGCAGCATGCAGGCCCGATTTTTATTTTCTGAGATATTCGAATGCATATTTTTTTTTCATGTATTTTCATAACGAATTCAATAAAACTCGTTATAAGTTGGTTTTCGAAGCTATTATTCCTTTTTCTCCTCTCTAACAGGCTGTCGCAATAAGATACGATTTATCATCTAGACTTGATGAATTTTTTTTTTTTTTAATTAAATTAATGTACATTTTCGTAAACAAATATATTTCTTCTATTTGTTGTAACAAGGTGAATATATTTCCGAAATATAAAGTGAATATATTACTATTCTGTTGATATTAACAATGTGAATATATTTTTGAAATGTAATGTAAATAAATAGGTGGGAAAAAAAAGAAGTGAAGTTCCAGCCGCGATTCCAGACTTTGACTACCGAGTCGAAGTTAGTGCCTTTTCGACTCAAGTCTCAAGGGCCCCTTACATGGTCAATATCGAGTTTTGTCAATATATTGACCGTGTAAGAGCTACATTGGCATTGATTATATTGACGTCTCAATCAAACTGGTTGATGTCAATTTTTTTTTTTTTTTTTTATTGAAACGCTCTTTCAATATTATTGAAACACTCAATATAATTACACAAGTAAGGGCCTATATTGACCAATATTAAACCATATTACGTACCCTGAGAAACTCTTGGCTATACCAAAATTTCGGTGCCCCTCTGTTCAATACGTTACGCGTAAGTGGGTGATACTTCCTTTTACTATGTTTTTTTTTTTTTAAGAGGGTGGGGTTTAACTCACTCCCCTTCCTCCGAATTTTTTTTTAAATATGAAATAGCAACATGTTTGGGTAGGGAGGAGATACTTGTTTAACTTTTTGGGGGGGAGGGGAGGGAAGGATTAACCTCCTTCTGAATTTGTTTCTGCTATACGTTTTCTTCTAAGAAGAGGGTGGAAAGTGAAAATCGTGTGATGCGCGCACCAGATTTTTTTATTTGCTCTACATTATAAAGTAGTTAGTACTACTCAAGATGAAATAAAGTGTTTTCTTTTCGAGTACATCTATCTCGGTTCTCTTTGTTAATATTTTGAAGGTTAAAAAGTTTGTTTCATTATATATGATTATTTGACATTATTTTATTATCTAGTATTTTATTTATATTCTGATGTATCGGTATTTATAATCCATACACAATAATGTGTTAGTGAAAAATTAGCTAAACGTTACCATTGACTGACAATTTTTGTTTTCAAATATATTTAAAATGTCTCAATGTTTTATGTGAAAAGTTCTTTAGGGGCCTTTTGCACTTTTTTGTGTAGAGTGAATTAGATTGAGCCATCAGATTGCCAGTGTTTATCGCTCGGGTAAAGTCGTTTGGAGTCGACTAATTGAAGTATTTTGGCATATGGATTAAACTATCTCAAAAACTAAAACGTGGACCTGCATCGTTAGCAAGAGAAATGTTCATCATTTCATCCTCTTTGTAATAAGCCATTATTCAAAATTGTATCATAATACAAAGCCAAAAGAAAAAATAGTGTTTAAAACCAAATGACAACGACTTTTATTGAAGAAATTGTTTAAAATATCCTCAGCAACTGAAAATCGGATCTGCGTACTGTAAGCGAGGGAAATGTTGAGCATATCATCCTCTTTATAATGAACTATTATTTATAATTTATATTTCATATTATTAATCTCGCCTTCTTGATGTTTTAACTTCTATCCTGTGTCTAAAGCACATACCTTTGTTTCTTTCATTATTTATTTTATTATTCAAAATTTTATTTGCTTAATAAACTGTAATTATTTAATTAAATTGTAATTTTTTTAATTATAATATGTTTACTATTAAAAATTTTTTAAATAAAAATAAATAAACTGCGAATGTTGGTGCTAGTGTTGTTAACAATGATGAGAATAATCATAGTGGGGGAGGACTTCAGCCCGAAAGCCCCGTCCCCCATATATCCGCATGTGCTTCATAATTTTCTGAGAAAGTACTCTTGTTTATAGCAACCGGAAGGCAATGTACAATAGGCTGTTGTGTTTTATTCTAATGAGATAATTGTGGGTAAATGGTTGACTCTCGTGAATAATGAAGAGAAGAATAGTTGGGATGATCAGTCAAATAAGAAGGCAAAAATAAATGATAATATTTATTTTTACATTTGCCGACGTTTCAACCTGTAGTTCAGGCCTTCATCAGGGCTAAGAAAAGAACCAGATAACAAGGTATGAGAAACATAAGTAGTGTAGGTAAAAAAAAAAAATTAAAGTAAAATGAAGTTGTTAGAATAATGACAATAGTAAGAACTAAGAGATAAATAATAATTACCGTTACAAAGTGTGGAATGATGAAGTAAACATAATCAAAAAAGGTGACATAAGTATTAAAACGGGAATCTTCGAATAAAATGTAAAACAGAAAATGTAATATGAAGTTATATAAGAAATGAAAACAAATAGTAAAATTAAGGCATTGCGAATAGAATAATTAGATAGAAAATTGAGATATTATAAAGTCTATCAAGATTTACAGACAACGTATACTACAATAAAGAGTTAAAACAGAGAAAAGGAATGAGGAAAGAAACTGAGAAGGCTGAAATAAGAAAGAGAAAAAAGAAAACAAACCTGACTCCAGAAGTGTAGCGGATAAATGAGTATCGTAACTAGGGAGGGGAGAGAAGAGATGTATTGTGGCGTCATCTCTAACGTTTATCTCACGATTCTTCTCGTCTTTGGTTGAAGCTGGATGTGGAGGGTTTCAGAAATGAGTCGTTCGTCACTACTTATGTTTCTCGTACCATGTTATCTGTTTCTTTTCTTAGCCCTAACGAAGGCCTGAACTTCAGGTCAAAACGTCGGCAAATTTTAAAATAAATATTATCATTTATTTTTGCCTTCTTATTTGACTTATTACCCCAACTATTCTTCTCTTCATTATTCTAATAAGATGTTCGTAGTCAAAGAAACATTATTGGAGTACTTCATTTCTTTGGTTCGTTTCATCGGTATGGCGTCACAAAGAGAGAGAATATCGATGGAATGTAGAACGAAGTATGAAAATAGTCTTTTATCTTTTAAAGTCGTTGAAGTAAAACAAAAAACTTTTCTCGCTGATCGTAAATGCCATTTGCTCACGACAGAACAATTAGGTAGCTACTATATTTCATGTAAATTCTTTAAATTAATGCATAGGTAAATAAGTATATAAAAAACAGCACCGTTTCTAAAAATTCATTTAATATATATGGAGAACTTAAAAACATGGTACATGCAACAAAACTTTGTATGATAGCTGCTATCAACTGGTATGGAATTAATAATAACTAAAAAACTATAAGTACTTCCGTCCAACCTAAAGAGATAGGAAGGATGAAATTATTGAAATATTAGGAGGAAATTAAATGGAAGGAAGACGGGAGAGAAAAATATCGCGAATTAAATAGGGCGAAGAAGGACTTATGGAAGAGAGAACATTTATCTCTTATTTATTTAAGAAAGAAAGAAAATATAAAACTGTAGGAACCCGAGAAAAGAAAAAAATATATATATTCTTGGACGCCAGATGGACAATGTGATGAATAGAATTTTTTTATTTTTTATTTAAGACATTTACAACTGTATTACATAAATACATCAAGTAAATTTGGACATAATTGATATAATGACATGAATACACTTGCTGAGTAACTACCCAATGGTAGCACTCTAATGATATGACTACATTAGAAGATCACGGGGCCATCTTCTTTTCAGACGCCTCGGAGGGTTATCAGGAATTGAAGAGGAAGCAAGGTTAGAAACGAGAGGATTGGGATGATTCTGAAGTTTATTATGGAAGGATAGGTATCTGGATTGGGCCAGATCTGAAACATAAGGAACATTAAGATCTTTATGGATAATTTTATTAGTGACAAAGTAAGGAGCATTGAGGATTTTACGAAGGATTTTGGATTGTAAGGATTGGATGCGAGAGGAATTCGATGGTTTAGTGGAGCCCCATAGCTCAACTCCGTAAGTCCAAATAGGTCTTATTATAGTCAAGTATATGAGTCTTTTGTAATTAATGGGAAGTTTAGAGCGTTTGTTTAGTAAGTGCTGAAGTAATCGGAAACGTCGAGCGGTTTCTTGTCGTTTCAGTCAAGTATGAGGATTCCAAGTTAGTCGTTTGTCCAGGTGGAGTCCTAGGTATCGGATTTGCTCAACAGGGATAAGTGGAGTATTGTTAAAGGAAACTGTAGGACAGGAAGTCGTTGGTTTACGGAATAGAATTTTAAGAGAAATAAAGAACTGAGAAAAAATAC